GTTCATTGCAGCATTATTTACAATAGCCAAGATAAGGAAAAAAAACTCGGTGTCCATCAATAGATGAATGGATAAAGAAAATGTGGTACACATATACAATGAAATATTACTCAGCCATAAAAAAGAATGATATCTTACTGTTTGAAACAACATGGATGGACCTAGAGGGTATTATGCTAAGTAAAATAAGTCAGACAGAGAAAGACAAATACTATATTATTTCCCTCATATGTGGAAAAAATAAATGAACAAACAAAACAGAAGCACGCTCATAGATACAGGGAACAAACTGATGGTTGCCAGATGGGAGGGCGGTTAAGGGGCTAGGTGAAAATATTAAGAAGTACAAGTTGGCATTTACAAAATAGTCATGGGGATGTAAAGTAGAGCATAGAAAATATAGTCAATAATATTGTAATAACTATATATGGTATCAGGTGGGTATTAGTCTTATCGAAGGGATCACTTTGTAAGTTATATAAATGTCTAACCACTATGCTGTATACCTGAAACCAATATAATATTGAATGTTAATTGTAATTGAAAAGAATGTTTTTTTTTAAGTGAATGAATAGGACAATATGGAAACTCAGATCTACATGAAACAACCAGTAATAAGATAGTCTAAGATTAAGTACCTACTGGAGAGCCAGGTATAACAGTCGGCTATGGAGTCACACTAATAAGGTTCACATCTCAGCATCAGTGCCAAAAATGGAAGGAATAATAATAATGTCTTAGGAGTGTTGTGAGGGTTGAGATAACTTGTGTAATGTTAATATGTAGAAGAATATAGTATAGAACCAGAAGGTGAATCATGAATCATAGAGAGGCACTATATGGTCCATAAAGCTTCCCTGTTTCTCCTAAGTTGGAAAACGTAATAAAGGTGATAAGTAACTGCCCCCTACCCCAAAAGTAGTCTGTTTCTTCTACAGAAAACAAAATAGGGAAAAGGGAGATTTAGGGGAAATCTAGACCACACTGTAATAAAAAGGAAGTCTTTCATGTAAGAGATGGTCTACATGTTGATCCTAAAGGCTAGACATGATTTAGAAAAAGAGAGAGATATAGAATGAGAAGAAAAGTGTAACAAAAGCCAAAGACACAGGCTGCTCATAGTTTGTATGAATATAAAACCTATAGTAGTCCTAGTTCTGTCACTAATTAGCTATGCACTTTTAGGTAGATTAGTTCATTAGAATGGGCCCAAATTTATTTCCCTGTGATATTATGGGGTTCTGTGAACTATATTATAGTTATAGTTTTTTATATATTCTTTATTTCAATCATCTTCATAGTTCTCTCCAGTTTAAAAATCAGATGGGGACTGCAATATATCAGACAATCCACTAGATGGCAATATATGGCTTTATAAATGGATGTCTCTTCATAGTGAGAATGTCTTAATGTTCAAACAACAGTGCAAAGTTCTCCAGAAACAATGAGAGAAGAGATGAACTTATTCCTCATACTGAGGTCATTATTGACACTTATAAAGAGAAAGCAGATGTTTTTAACCCCTTTGTTTTAGACCTGCAGGTATTGTGTCATCATTGTTAGGACATTCTGTTAAGTGTTTACTGGCAGAGTGGGTTATTTCATAACAAGGAAGTAAACACAGAATGATTTGCATGGGGTCCAATTCTGAATTGAGACAATAGAACACCTCAAAAGACCCTTACCATCTATCAAATGTACCATCAGTCACTCTTAAACTTTTCATCATTAAGAGCCTACATATTCCATCATACTCCACTAAAAAAGAAAAGAAAAAAAATCTATTTCTTTTTCAGCATGATACATTTTTTCATAAAATGTCAACATTATCATTCTTAGTAGTAAGATTGAACTACCCTTATTTTTAAAGTTATGACTATTTAAAAAATATAAAGAAGAATATTAAAATAATCTTTACGTAATAAGTAATGTAAAAATGTTGGTCAAACTATTTTTGGTCGATTGAAAAAATATACATGCATCTTTTTATTTTTAAGTTTAAATATTTTGAAATCTTTTCATGGTAATAAATATATTTTTATATTAATGATCACTGGCATTCAATTGTTCACAGGTACAGTGTTGAGGCAATGTACTTTAACTGAAATGTCTGGCCTTCCTGAGACTATTCTTCATAAAATTGACAGAAACAGCCCCCATTTAAAGATGACTGATGATTAGAGACAGACCTATGCAGAGAAATGAATAAAGACAATGAAACATAACAGAGCCTAACAAATGAGCTGATGAAAAATACGTTATGAGAAAAGTTTTGCCAGAAAGCCGAGAAACTCAACAAACATTCAGTAAACGACTTGAAAAGGGTGAAGAATTATATGAGCTCTTTGAAACAGTATCTCAAGGAAGGGAGCAAAAGGAACACTTGAAAACTACATGGATGACATGAAGAAAAGGCTAGAAAAAGAAAATTAAAAAGTAATGCAAAGGCCAAAATTGAAAATGAGTTGAGACAAAATGGCAGATATGGGAGGGATATACTTTATATTTTTCAGGATACTCTGAGATCATAATAAATGAACCAGAAATAATTCTTCAAGGATTAGAAGAAAAGTTAACTAAAAATAAAGGAAAGCTGGATTTTCAAGTAAAAAATGGATAACAAGCCCCATGCAAAACTGACATAAAACTATTACATATCTTTATGAAATTACTAGACTCAAAGATGAACAAATGAAAAAAGATGCCTCCGAAATAAAGTATCTCTGAAAGGCTAAAAGTAAAAAGGATGTACCAGATAAATGTAATGAAGATATATTATGAATCTAATAAAATGGTATCAAAAAATGATAAGGCAAAAATTGCCCCCAAATATCCAGAAAGATATAAAGACATACAATAATAGTAGGAGAATTATTATATCCCTCAGCCCAATACACTTCAAGTACTCAAAACTATATATACATATATAGAAAATCTAAATAAAATTATTTTTGGAAGGCCCTTAAACACATTTCAGGTATTATGTTTTATATGTCACAAAAACAAATACTGACAAATACTTTCAAAATGCAATGTTGAAGGATCTCTCTTCAGATACAAAACTGTGTAGCTTTGAAAGACTGGAATATGTAGCTCTGGTCGGTGTGGCTTGGTTGTTAGGAGCATAGGCCCATATACCAAAATGTCTCGGGTTCGATTCCTGGTCAGAGCACATACCTAGCTTGTGAGATCAACCCCCAGTTGGGGCACATGCAGGAAGCAACCAATCAGTATTTCTCTCACATTAATATTTCTCTCTCTCTAAAGAAAATTTTTTTAATTAATGAAAATGTGCTTGGGTGAGGATTAAAAAATTGGAATGTGTTATTTACAGCACAACTGAATACACTGACCAATAACTGTATATTAGGAAAATGTGTCTTTGTTTTTGTTTTTTTATCCTCACCTGAGGACATTTTTCCATTTTTTGTTCAGATAGAGTAGGAGGGAGAGAGAGGAAGAGAGAGAGAGAGAGAAACATCGACGTGAAAGGGACACATCGAGTGGTCGCTATCAACCAGGGCCAGGGACAAACTGCAACCGAGATACGCGCCCTTAGCGGGAACCGAACCCGGGTCTCTCTGGAACGCAGGCCGATGCTCTAACCGCTGAGACAAACTGGCCAGGGCATGTTTTAGGAAAATGTTACAGTTTTAAAATCAATCCAATTATGACAGACTCTGTGGCAATACATTTTCCTACTTTAAAGTGACTTTGGCAAAAGACTGGAAGTAGATTCATGACAGATCTTTGAAATTAGTTTTCTAATTTGCCTACAGCTATATAATAAACATTTCAACCCCTTCTATATTATTATCTCACACTGTCCAAGGAGAGAAGCTATATTAGTACTGCGTGGTGGAACTGATGTTTAAGGAACAGCAAATTACTTTCAGGATGTCATCAGCAGCTATTTTCTTCCTCGGGGAACAATTTATATTACAGTTCTAACTCTACGATCTATAAACCATATTTATTAACAGTTTTCTTTCGAATAGCAGCATGAAAGGCCACTTCCCAATCAAATCCAATATCAGCTTTAGTCCTGCAACTAAGTCAAAATTCACCGTCAATATCCACCGCCATTCTCACAGGACCCGAAACCTTGCCCACCTGGCCAGGCTCTGCTTGATCATAACTCATGGGCTTCAAGGCAAGATGGAGTATTTTCTAGAAGTCAATGACTTTGATGTGTCAGGCTCAGTCACAAAATGAAAGACAGGAAGAAAATCAGTGAAACCTGGCACAGGCAGAGGGAAAGCAGAACCATGAAAAAGCTTTTCTTAAGAATCTAGGTGATGGAGAAATCTAGAGACAGAAAGTAAATGACTGTTGAGGGTTGGGGCAGGAATAGAGATGGTGGGACAGAGGTGATACCTTTAGGATATGGGATTTCTTTTTTGGGGTGATCAAAATGGTGCAAAATTGAGGGTGGGACTGGTTGCATATATTGGTGAATATATTAAATACCATCAAAATGTACTTTTTAAATGAATGAATTGTATGGTATGTGAATTATACCTTAAAGCTGTTTTTGAAAAAAGACAGAGGAGAAGCCAGGTAAAAGGTGAGCCAACAAATCTCAAGCAGGGAAGAACATGAGACTCTTACTCGAACTATCCAAAATGAGGTTTGCCCGGGGTTCACATAAGCAACGCTTGTGTCAGAAAAACCTTTTCTCCAGGATGGCCACAAAGAGATTGCTCTTCTTATAGACCAAACAACCACATAGCCATCAAAATTGTTTGCTTCTTAAGGCAAGAGCAATACGAAAGTTGTTCAACTTTTAACTGGTTAAGGAAAAAAAATTCTGTTATGGGTTTCAGTTGGCCAAGACTAATGCTGTGAACCAGGCCCTTGTATCAGTTTGTAAACATGCAAATCAGTAGGATTTGTACTATACCCTTTGCTAAGAGAGTTAAGCTGAATTCATGCTCTTTAAAAAAACAAAACAAAACAAAACCCATTCCCTGAAGTAAACAGCACAGGCTGAGACTCACAGTCCACGATGTCACCTTGAAGCTGCAGAATCTGGGGAACTGGCATGGTGAGAACAACAATATCAAACTGCTCAGGGGAGCCCGTTTCCTTGGAGACTTCCCACTTGGCATTTCTCAGGTTGATCTGGGTCACACATTTTCTGAAACAGATATCAGCACCTGTTCCAAAGCAAAACCGTGTTCATGTAAGTAGAATTTTCCATATGACTCAAGGAGGAGAGAAGAATCGCCAAGGAGATCCATTCGGGTGAATAAAACGGTGCAGTTTGTCCTCTACAGTCCCTGCGGTTCACTTTCTTTACTTTCTTTCTCATTTAGTGGGAATTCCTCTCCTTCTGGCACCCTTGGACCTGACTATCAATGCCTATTCTGGGGGGAAAATACTATTACAATTAACAATAATAGTAACCATAGCTATTTTTTTTATTAAGCATCTACTCTATGCCAGGACTATGCCAAGCACTTGATATACATCATACCAATTAATTTCACAGATAAGGAAACAGATTCAGAAATGCCATGCCATAATTTAAAGCTACATCACTCTGAGTTCATTATCATTGTAGAGTAAGTATACATTTTTGTTTTATTTTATTTTCCTTTATTGATTTTAGAGAGAGAGGAAGTGAGAGGGAGAGAGAGATAGAAACAATGATGAGCATGAACATCGACTGGCCGCCTCCTGCATGCCCCCCACTGGGAACTGGGCCCACAACCTGGGCATGTGTTCTGACCAGGAATCGAACTGGCGACATCTTGGTGCTTGGGTCAATGCTCAATCACTGATCCACACCGGCTAGCCGTTAAGTATACATTTTCATAAAGGCACTAATTCTTCTCTCTAGTAATAGCTAGAAAGAGCAATATTCCCTATCAAAGAAATTATTATTGCCTGTTAAAACTGGAAAAGGTCTCTGCAAAAGAAACCTAAGTCTTCATCAATGGATCAATTACCTTTATTAAGAAGAATGAAGAGAAATATAATCTAGAATATCCTGTCATTGCATTTTCCTTTTTTGTACTTATCACAAAGGTATTTTAATAATTATTTGAGTAGTTATTTGATTAATATTTTCTTCCCTTTTAACCTATAGTTAAGTCTGGTTTGTTTCTATACATAGCACATAGCGTATATAGTACGGTATTTGACACATACTAGCTATTTAATTAATATTTGTTTAAGACAGTGATTTTCAACCTTTTACATTTCATGGCACACATGAACTAATTACTAAAGTTCTATAGCACACCTAAAAATGTAATTTTTACTGATCTGCAAAAAAAAAAAACAACAGGTATAATTTTGATTCATTCACACTGATGGCTATTGTTGTGTTGGCTGTTGTCATTTTTTTCTTTGACAATTTAAGGGAAAAGAGGTCAGTGCCCCTGACTACATAGTCAGGTTTTGCATGTTTTAAAAAGTCTTGTGGAACACTGGTTGAAAATCACTGATTTAAGAGAATGAATTATGAATCAGAAATTGAAAGATCAAATATAACTAAATCACTGTCTCCTTGGTACACTGACACTCACCTCACATTTCAGTTTTCAGAAAACTCTGATTTAAAAACAAATTCAGAGGAGATTTAAAATGGCAGCAGAGTGAATAGAAGCTACACAGACCATCCTCAGGACCAAACTGGAATTACAACTAAAATAAAAACAAGTCATTAAGAAAAACCAACTGAAGAGCAGCTGAAGAGAACCCTTATAACCAGGGATGGAAAGAGGACCCCCAAATTAAGCCTGGTAGGATCTGCAGAGCCATGAGAGGGCTGGCTGGGTGCCCATGGGCAGCAGCTGAGGACTGTCTTAGCTGTGAGCAGTTCCCTCTCAGACGTCGGGGTTAAAACCCCAAGCCGGCTGCCCTGCACAGAGTGGTGGAGCAGGGAAAGGTGCCCACATAACACCTGGCTGAAAAAATCACCAGAGCACAGAATTTTTCAGACAGGGAGAGGTGCTGGGAACACCAGCACATCACTGACGGGCCAGTGCACTAAATGAGCTACAGCCACTCACCTTGAGCTCTGGCAGAGGGAGGGCAGACTGGACTGGAACTGTGTGAAATGAATCAGAGGTTCATGGCACTGGGGAGAGAGCTGGGAAGGAGGCCATCAGGAGTGTTATGCTGAATCACTCCCTCATAGGACAGTAGCCATATAACTCAAAGAGCCTCTTCCCAGAGCCCCAGGGAGAAGCACAGGTCCCTCCCTCAGGGATTTAACACCTCTGGGTGGGAGAAATGCAAACTGAGGCTCATTAACAGCTACAGACTACCAGTAAGCAAGGAGGGGGGAAAAAAAGAAAGCCTCAGAAAGATTTGAAATTTGGACCAGGCTCTTAATGGTGGAGGTCCTGGCTCTGAAGACTGAGCTGTGAAGGCAGAGGCCTGGGCCCCTGCACTGAACCAGAAGTCCACACTGCAGAAACCACCTTCTTATCAAAGCAACTTTGACCCAGGGGAAAGCAATTGCCCCACCCACTGGAAATCCTCTTACCCTGTCCACCTGAGGGATTTTTCATTCAGCTGAGGGCTACAACCTGAGGCTCATTAAGTAACTGAGATGAACAGCCTGCAGGCAAAAGCTATAGAATAATCTTTGCTGGGCCTGCGAATCTACCCAGGAAAGTAAGACTAGACATTGGTGTTTAACGTGGGCCCTCCCACACTCATCCAAACCCAGTAGAGGGAGCCACAATCAGTGAACACCAACACCCACAAGGAAAAGTTGGCAGGCTCCAAAACCAGATAAAGACACTACAAAGAAAGAAAACTATAGGCCAATATCCCTGATGAACATAGATGCCAAAATCCTGAACAAAATATTAGCAAATCAGATCCAGCAATACATCAAAAAAAGTATTCACCATGACCAAGTGAGATTCATCCCAGGGATGCAAAGCTGGTACAATATTCACAAATCAATAAATGTGATACTCCACATAAACAAAATGAAAGATAATCATCCGATCATATCAGTAGAGGCTGAAGAAGCATTCAACAAAATCCAGCACCCATTTCTGATAAAAACACTCAGCAATGTGGGAATAAAGGGATCATATCTTGACATAATAAAAACCATATATGAAAAACCTATAGTCAACATCATACTCAATGGGCAAAAACTAAAAGCATTTCCCTTAAGAACGGGAACAAGACAGAGATGCCCACTTTTGCCACTCTTATTTAGCATAGTACTGGAAGTCTTAGCCACAGCAATTAGACAAGAAGGCAAAATAAACGGGATCCAAATTGGAAAGGAGGAAGTGAAACTGTCATTATTTGCAGATGATATGATATTGTATATAGAAAACCCTAGAATCTATCAAAAATCGCCTAGAGCTAATAAATGAATTTGGCAAAGTAGCAGGGTACAAAATTAATGTCAAGAAATCGATGGCATTCTTATACACCAATAATGAACTCACAGAAAGAGAAACTAAAAAAAATCCCATGCACCACTGCAGCAAAAAAACTAAGATACCTAGCAATAAACTTAACCAAAGAAGTAAAGGACCTATTCTCAGAAAACTACAGGACATTGAAAAAAAGAAATAGAGGAAGATAGAAAAAAAGTGGGAGCATATACCTTGTTCATAGATTGGAAGAATTAACATCATTAAAATGTCCCTACTACCCAAAGCAATCTATAGATTCAATACAATTCCTATTAAAGTACCAATAGCATATTTCACAGATCTAGAACAAATACTTCAAAAGTTTATATGGAACCATAATAGATCCCTGTACAGCCACAGGAATTTTGAAAAAGAACAAAGTGGGAGGGATCACAATACCAGATATCAAGTTAGACTACAAAGCCATCATAATCAAAACAGCCTGGCCCTGGCCGGTTTGGCTCAGCGGTTAGAGCGTCGGCCTGCGGTCCTGAGAGACCCGGGTTCGGTTCCCGCTAAGGGCACGTACCTCGGTTGCAGTTTGTCCCTGGCCCTGGTCGGTCATGCGGGTGGCAACCACTCGATGTGTCCCTTTCACATCGATGTTTCTCTCTCTCTCTCTTCCTCTCTCTCCCTCCTGCTCTACCTGAACAAAAAAAAACAAAAAAAAAAATAAAACAGCCTGGTACTGGCACAAAAACAGACATATAGATCAATGAAACAGAACAGAGAACCCAGATATCGATCCAAGACAATATGCACAATTAATAGTCAACAAAGAAGGCAAGAGCATACAATGGAGAAAAGACAGTCTTCAATAAATGGTGCTGGGAAAACTGGACAGCTATATGCAAAAAAATGAAACTAAACCACCAACTTACACCATGTCAAGAATAAACTCAAAATGGATAAAAGACTTAAATGTAACATGTGAAACCATAAAAATCCTAGAAGAAAATTAGGCAGAAAAATCTCAGACCTAATATGTAGTGGAATTTTCACTGAATACATCACCTAGGGCAAGAGAAACAAAGGAAAAAATTAATAAATGAGACTACATCAAACTTAAAAGCTTCTGCATGGCAAAAGAACCCAGCATCAAAATGAATAGGGAACCCACTCTCTGGGAGAACATATTTGCCAAAGATACATGGGATAAGGGGTTAATATCCAAAATATATAGAGTACTCACACAACTCAACAAAAGGAAGACAAACAATCCAATTAAAAATGGGCAGAGGACGTGAATAACACTTCTCCATACAGAACATACAAATGGCCAGGAGACATATGAAAAATGCTCAATATCACTAATCATCAGAGAGATGCAAATTAAAACGACTATAAGATATCACCTCACACCTGCCAGAAGGGCAGCCATTAAAAAATCCTCAAAAACAAATGCTGGCAAGGATGTGGAGAAAAGGGGACTCCAGTACACTGCTGGTGGGAATGCAGACTGGTGCAGCCACTATGGAAATCAATTTGGTGCTGCCTCAAAAAATTAAAAATGGAACTGCCAATGGACTCAGTGATTTCATTTCTAGGAATATATACTAAGAAACCTGATATACCAATCAGAAAGAATATACGCACCTCTATGTTCATAGCAGTGCTATTTACAATTGCTAAGATCTGGAAACAGCCCAAGTGTCCATCAATAGATGAATGGATAAAAAAGCTGTGGTACATGTACATAGTGGAATACTATGCAGCTGTAAGAAAGAGAGATCGTTTACCCTTTGAGACGACATGGAGAAACCTGAAGAGTATTATGCTACTCAAAATAATTCAGTTAGAGAAAGACAAATACCAAGTGATCTCACTTATTTGTGGAACATAATGAACAAAATAAGCTGTTGACCAAAACAGATCCAGAATCATGGAAGCAGGAAACAGACCGACAAACCTCAGAGGGATGAGAGGTGGGAGGAGTGGGAAGAGATAAACCAAAGAACTTATATGCATATATGCACAACCAATTGACAAGGGCACTAGCTTGGGGAAAGCAGGAGGGGGGTGGGAGCGGGAATGAGGGGAGTCAATGGGGAAAAAAGGGGGACATCTGTTAATACTTTGAACAATAAAAAAAAGTTAAATGAAATAAAAAGCCAAATTCACTTGTATTCGGTCTCATAAATAGAAAAGAAAGATACAAAAATGAAACGAGAAAAAAGAATACTAAAAGGTCCTGTTCATCATCACCTGGGAAACCTCATGTTCCCAGCCAAGAAATATCTAGCTTAAATCCAACCTTGGCCATGAAACTTCCTTTCTGTAGCTACTCCAACTAAATGTGATCCTTCTCATTTAAGATATCCTTTGATCATCAGTGCCTTTACCACTCATTCTGACATTGATTCAAAATATCTGTATGTTGTAGGTATGTCTGTCTTATCTATTCAAAAATCTTCTAAACTCCTCCAAGTTAGGCCTCCAGATCTCCCGTATCTTTACATCTTTGACTGTCCCTTGAATAATGCTACAATATAGTAAGTACTCAAATTTTTTTAATCAAATGCAAATACATTAGAAAAAACATGGTGCTAACTAGGCCCTGGGGTCAATCTTTCTTTGAGGCAATTAGCATCATTCTGTTCAAAGATTAGAGCAAGAGTTTACACATAGTGCTTCAACTTGCCTGAGGGTTTCTCTAAGGCCCCTGCTTGGAGAAGGTAGACTAGAGCTTTTGGCTCAACAACCATCATCTTCCTTACTCCAACCAGAGTGGCTCCACTTCACTCTGTTCTATTTATTTAGGATGTCTCGTCCCCAACTTACTTGCCTCACTCTGGTCTGGGTCCTGACCTGGACCTCAACTAAGTCAACTGATTTTATATGTTTTATTCAGTTATGTTTCACATAATATTCCCTTTGACAGGAGCATACTTTGTTATTGATGCTGGTGGATATATGTGTGCTTAAGGGAGCTGAAGCCTCCTGACCTAGAAATGCTATCTATCCAGTCTTGGACCTGTATCCCAATGGCTCCAAAGTATTCTGTAAGATATATGTCAGTGGTTCTCTAAGTGTGGAACCCAGACCAACAGCACCAGCAGCACCTGGGAACTTGTTAGAAGTGTACATTCTCAGGCCACAACCCAGATCTACTAAATCAGAATCTCTGGGGATCAGGCCCAGCAGTCTATATCCCTCTGCACCAGGCTTGTTATGATGCACACTAAAGTGTCATCTGGCGTAGATGACAGACCAAGATCCAACACCACAGCTGGCAAAATCATCCAAAACATAATATCTGCCAAGAGTTGGGAGTGATAGTATAGCTGCTCCTACCCATCAGGAAGTTTCCTTTCCTACTGCTAAGAGTGAAGTTTCTGGGAAAGCGGCATCTCCTTATGAAAGTAATTACTAACTTATAAAACATGTGGACTCTGGAAATTGTCTTTTTTTGATTGTTTTTGTTTTTCTTTACTGATTTTTAGAGAGAGGAAGGGAGAGGGAGAGAGATAGAAACATTGATGAGAGAGAACATCGATTGGCCACTTCCTGCATGCCCCCCAACTGGGGATTTGGCCCACAACCTGGGCATGTGCCCTGACTGGAAATTCTAATTTTAAAACAGAGAATTACATAAAATCTCATAAAGTAATTTCTGAGCTTAGTGAATTTGAACATGTCTGTCTCTTGTGTAGTATTCTTCAATATCTTCCCACTGCACATAAGATAAAGTGTAAAATCTTTAACATTGCTTACAAAGCCCCTTCTGATCTGGCCCCTGTCTTAGTCTTGAACTTCATCTTTTATCAGTTTCTCCCTCACTCACTACTCTCCAGTCATGATGACCTTTTAGTTTTTCTAATGCTTCAACTTGCTCCTACATTAGAACAGTTCCAATTTCATGTGTCCACTGCATGGAATTATCACCACTCAGCTCTTGGCTTAGTTCACTCTTGCTTACATTTCAGGTACCCATGAAAACATTAGTTCCTCAGTGGTGCTTTCTCTGACACATCTCCCCCCTCTTACTCCTCTGAAACTCACATTAAGTTAGGTCTTCTTAATATATACTCTCTCATAATGCTCTCTCTTCTTCTTAGCATTTGTTATGTACCTTTGTGTGTGTAAGTAATTAGTTTAATGTCTTTCCTCGCTACTATATTCTATCTACATTAACATTGGCAGGGAGCACATCTCTTATTTACCACTGTTTCCCCAGCACATAATACTGAATAAAATTTTTAAAAATATGCAGATAGCGATCGAGATATCAGAATATTAAGAAGGTTAAAACATTTTATAAACACAAATGTGTTTCTGTTATATACTTATTTAATTTTATCCTCTGCTTTACTCTATTTTAAAGAGAAAATCTACATTCATTCTCCTACTATAATTTCCTACAAATAGGTTTTAGGGAGCAGCAGTTCAGAACTGATCAGATGAAACCTAAAGAGATGTGAACAATGTCTAACTAAATGTTTTAGAGTGAGATGGATATTTATTATAAACACAGAGCAAACACATTATAGAATGGTTTATGTAAAAAATCCCATGTGTATATTTTTACAAGAGTAAATATAAACATATTTGAATGAACAAATAGAGACAGCCATGTAGATTAATAGATAGATGCATAAACATTTCTCTGGAAGCATACACTGGAAACCGTTATTAGTGGTTATTTTAGGGAAAGAAAACTGGCAATTGAATGGTGAATAAGAGAACAACTATTTTGTAATTTTTTTGAAGTATTAATATTTAATGATGTGTATAATTTTTGTTTTAATGTGCTAATTTTAAAAGAAGGCAGAGAAAATCCTAATCCCACCTGATTCTTTCAAGTAATGCTTAATAATTGAAGAAACTCCTTGAGGTGCCACAAAGTTACAGTCTCCTTCTTTCATCACCATTCCTTCAATAGGCGAGGTCAGAGGCTTCAAAATGCCATGAGTTAATAGTTCATCATAAAAACTGAAATAAATCAATGTATATAACATAATTATAAACTATAATTAGCTCTAGTATACCATCTTCTCTTATAAGAATTCTTAGAGATTATAATACTCAATAACTAGATGTTGTAATATGATCAACTCAACATATGTTTTGTGTTAATAACACATACAATTCAGGTGAAGAACAGAAATGTTTAGAGAATCCATAAATCATTTTTTTTCTTTATTGATTTTAGAAAGAAAGGAAAGGAGAAGAAGAGAGAGATAGAAACATTGATGAGAGAGAACATTGACTGGCTGCCTCCTGCATGCCCCTCACTAGGGATTGGGCCCACAACCTGGGCATGTGCCCTGAGCAGGAATTAAACCAGTGCCTCTTGGTGCATGGGTCGACACTCAATCACTGAGCCAAACTGGCCGGGCAGAATCCAAAAATCTTTTGCTAACATTACCCAAATGCCTATTCTCTGTACATTTAAAAAATAAAGTCAGTGAACCGAAAGGTAAATATGTTTTACCTGTGTTCATAGCAGCACTATAATTACTAAGATCTGGAAACAGCCCAAGTGTCCATCAACATGAGTGGATAAAAAAAGCTGTGGTACATATACACCATGGAATACTATGCAGCTGTAAGAAAGAAAGATCTCTTATCCTTCGAGATGACATGGAGGGACCTAGAGAGCATTATGCTAAGTGAAATAAGCCAGTCAGAGAAAGACAAGTATCACATGGTCTCACTTATTTGTGGAATATAATGAATAAAATAAGATAATGAACAAAACAGACCCAGAGACATAGAAGTAGTGTTCAGACTGACAAACCTCAGAGATAGGGGGCGAGGGGGAGGGAAGAGATAAACCAAAGAACTTATATGCATGTGAGCATAACCAATGGGCATAGACAACAATGCTGGGGTGGGGGTGGGGGGGATCGGGAGGAGGGTGTCAATAGGGGAAAAAGGAAAAACATCTGTAACAAAAATAAATTAATTTAAATAAATAAATAAAAACAGAAAGGTATTCCATACACCACTTTTAATTTGGTTAAAGTTGACTTCTGTCACAGCTATTTTGCCTCTTCCTCAACACCAACATAGTAATTCATATTTACTGAGCCCTTCCTATGTTCCATGCAACATCTCGTCTGATCTTCACAACACTAGAGGGCATGTATTCTAGTTTTCCCATTTTACTTAGGTTAACCTTTTACTGCTAATACCAATAAAAATGATAATGATTTAACTATATTAAAAGAGGCAAAGTTTAACCCTGTTAAAAATGGATGGTTTATAGTTTTACACCAGACGGCTAGTAAGACTGATTCCACCCCTCAACTAACTCACCTTTGGTGCTTTTTGGCATAGGGAAGAGTGCACGTGATGTACTGGGCACCCAGGTCCACTGTGCTCTGTGGATTGTGAGGGCTGCTGGCCGTGGTCATTCTTCCCCCTTGATTTAATCCACAGGAAAGTGTCTGTATTAGAATGAACTTCTTGCAGTTAATGCCATTCACCCCATGTTACCTCAAATGGATTACTTTACAGCTGTATTAGAAAACTTTTTTTTTTGGGGTTGAATATTTTGTCATCCAACATTGGCTGGACGTAAAGAAACAATTTGGTCACTGATCATGAGATATGTTTTTAAAAGAACACATGAATAATGCAATAGAGCTCAGCACCGCCTCTGGTGCAGATAGTTACTATTTTAAAGGAAAGGCATGAATGAATGAATGAATGAATGAACAAATGAATGAATGAAATAGACTAATAAATACAATGTCAGAACGAATCAATCAGTGCATGCTTTCACTTTTCAATCAGGATTCATAAGAATCACAGCATCTGTACACTAGATCTTCACAAAGTCGTGGTCAGTGGGCACTTAGGGATCCCCATGGTCTGGAGAAAGCTGCAAAGGCACAGGCAGGCCACGAGGAAAATTATGTGTAAGCGGCAGCGCTAGGCCAAGGCGCTCAGGCCGGCACCCAGTGCGCGGGCACTCGCGCGCCGCCAGCCTGGCGGGGGTCGCCCCTCCCCCTCCCGCGCCCGCGCCCCTGCCCCCGTCCGGCCTTTCCCGGCGGCGGAAGTCTCCGTCACGTGACGAGGCGCGCGCGGCGCCGGCCCGACTGCGCTGGGGCCCGAGTAGCTGCACTTTCCTCTGGCTGTCCGCGTTGGGGCCCAGGCCACTCGGCGCTTCGGCCATTAGAGGACCCACCTGAGTCCCCAGCCTTGTCCCACACGGTGAGGTGTAAAGGACCGGCCGTCACCTTCCTCAGGAGCGCTGCGCACAAGCTTCCCGTCAGCCCGGCGCCCACCACCAGCACCCGCGCCATGGCCCGGGCTCTCGGCGGCGACGCGGGCCGGCCTGCAGTGTGGAAGGGCGGCCGAGGCCGAGCTGGCGCCGTGCCCTGAGCAGTGCCGCCGCCGGCCGCCAGGGGGCAGAGAGGAGGCGACCGGGGCGGAGAGGCGGGCCGCCCTGCCGAGCGCGCAACCTCGGGCTGGCCTCTGGGTCGGAGGGCCGGAAGCCGCTGCAGAAACCAGCGGGCGCCCTGAGGACGGCTGCCACCTCCCGCCCGCCGCTCGCCTAGAAAAGCCTGGAAGTCGTGTAGGTTAGTGTGGGACCCGCCTCGCCTCCCGCGGCCGGTGGTGTGCGCGCCGCGGGACCCTGCCGACGTGCCTGGGTCCGGAGTCCCAGCGTGGGCTGGGGGGACGCCCCGGGACGCCCGCTGTTCGCCCAGCAGAAACAGGTTTTGGCATCAAGATGTTTTTCTTGAACTGTGCCTTGGCTCTGTGTATGTTTATGTATCTTCTTGAACGTCGGTTTCTCCGTCTGTGAAATGGGGGTGCTAACGTCTACGTCCCACATGTGTGAAGAGGAGAGAGATTGGATTCCCCAGGGAACGACATCACTCAGCTCTTCAGTAATCGTTCTACTCACAACACATTCCAGATGCTCTGCGGGATATAAAGATGACCATTGTCCCGCCGCCCCTCCGACATCGTCTTGGAAGTTCTCGATGAAACAACAGAAAGCAACGAGAAGTCTGAACTATTAAAAAATAAAGAATTGAGTTACCCTGAATTGTAGGTAAAAGTTTACCTGGAAAACGCTAGGGAAACTGAGCAGCTGTAAAGAACTAATAAGAAAGCTGACAATGGTAATCACCTGTTAAGTTTTACTTTATGTCCACATTATGAAGAAATTACCATGCTTTAAATTGGTCATGGATTAATATTACACATATAATAAAAGAACTAGAAGAAAGTATAGGTGAACATATATTGTCTAAGAAGACATTTCTAAGCGTAAAAATAAAGGTGGAACTGAGCAAAAAACATGGAATACATAGTCATTGCAACTTGTATGTTAAAATACACAAGACAATACAAATAGTGAACAATTTTTGGAAAATGTATGAAAGATGAAAGTTTAATACTCTTACTATATAAAATCTTAAAGATATAATTAAATGACAAAATCTGAAAGAAAAATGTACACAGATTTAATAGAATTCTTGAATAGAAAGAAATAGAAAAGTCCAATAAACATATAAGAATGTTTAACTCTCCTGTATTCAAACACAAATTAAAATGAGTGCCATTTTTCATTGCTGGGAATTGTTTTTTTTTTAAACTGTTATATGCCTACACTTGACAAGAATGTAACAACACACTAACATATTACTGGTGAGAATGTAAAAGAAAAGTTAACAGAAGTCATGTTTTTGAAAATAAAATTGTGTCCCTTAAATGAGATATTCCAAGTCTGGACATTTATCTTGGGGAAATAATGTACATATATATTAAGATTTAGGTAAAAAATGTGCTTACCTCAATGTTTTTAAAAACAGTGCTGTATACAATCAATAGATGATTTATTAGATTATGGCTAGTCATAAACCTATACAAAACTTCTTTAAAAACATGGTTTTGAATATATTAAGATATAGGAAACTACATATATATCTATAAGGCTGAAAAATAGGCTACAAACAAGTAAAATTGTAGATTTTTGCAAACACACAGAGAATAAATATACATATTCAATAGAGAAATATGAGAGGAAACATGTACTGTTTTTAAAGACCATGTATTTATAACCATTTATTTGTTAATTATAAACAAAGTAGAGCTAATATGCTAGACACAATTAAGCTCAAATGCCTTATTAGTTTTTGATAGTTTAAGAGATTTCTCTGAAATTAAAAGCTTAAACAACATAATTCACAACAACATTCTAAAATTTCAGAATTGTCTAGCTGGAAAAGATATTTAAGGTAGTCTATTTCAATGCTCTCTGCCATCACCATTTTATATGTGTAAATATAAACAATAAGTTTAAGTAAGCTAGCCCAAGGTTACACAGTGTCTGAATGATGAGGCCAATACAGATCCTCACAGTCTTTTGAATCTATTCTCTTTTTCATCATTTCCTCCTGCTTCCTCATTTCTGTTAATAGTCTGATCAGATTGCACAATCAGGCGTAAAACCTCACAATCATCTTCAATATCTTTTCTTTTCTCATTCTTAATATCTGTCATCCTCTGGTCTTTTTTACCTCTTCTCTATAATTCAGTCCTATGCATTTGTATACCAGAAAAATGCAGCCTTCCACTTCCATCAGAAATGTACTAAAGTGCCTATTTTACTGCATTCTTGTCAACTGTGGAAAAGTAATCACCATTACTTAAGCAAAGTTTAAGCAATCATTAATTTTTAACCGAATTACTGCAGTAGCTTTCTAACTGGTTTGCCTACTCCTAGTCTGTGTATTGGACCAAGCTTCTAGATCAGTTACCATCATCCTCAAAAAGTGTTTAGTAACTCTCAGTTTCATACAAAATCAAGTTCAACTGCTTGGCATAAAAAGTATTCAGTGGTATCTCCCTAACCTGTTTATATCTTGTGTTGATAACCTTCATATGCCCTGTGCAATAGCTAAATGAAATTATTTTATCTTCACTGAGCACGTGTTCAGATTTCCCACTTATCTGTGGAAATGGTAAACCTTTGCATATGCTCAAGAATTTTTTTTCTTTTAAATCCTCATTCAAGGATATTTTTTCATTTATCTTCAAACAGAATGGGAGGGAGAGAGACATCGACTGGCTGACTGCCACCCAACCCCGACCGGGGCTGGGGACCAAACCAACCAAGGTATGTGCCCTTGACCGGAATCGAACCTGCAACTCTCTGTTCCTCGTGCTGACACTTCAACTGCTGAGTCAAACTGGCCAGAGCAATACTCAAGAATTTTTGATGTGTGTTTATCTGAGATGTGAATTTGCACTAATTCTTCATTTTCTTATTTGTTTCCCCTACGATCAACAATGTGCTCTTTAAAAAGTTAAACCCGAATGTGGAATTGTTATGACCACTGAATAGAGGTAGTTATAGTGGCCTGTGATTGCTCATTACTTTAGTCTATGGGTTATATTAGTCCAGAACTATAGCTATAAAGTTGGTGATCCATAGTTGGCTACTGACATTTGTGTATCTTTCAGGGAGAGTTGGGAATAACTAGACCTTGAGAAAGTAGGATTTCAAAATAGCTAGGACAGATGTACTTATATTTACTCTTCCTAATTACCTTTACCTTTTTGCTTAACTTCTCTCCTATTCCTGATCTTTGCAAGGCTGGCTCTTTCTGATCATCAAGTCAAGCTTACAAGTCACCTTCAAGGGACCTTCTCTAATTACTGGACCAAAAACAGCTACTCAGTGACACTCTATTACATTAATCTGTTTTATTTTCTTCATGACACTTAATCACTTTTAGAAGTTATCTTGCTTGTATCACTATTTATGTGTTTATTGTTTATTTATTGTCTTTTTCCTATTAGAATTTAAGATCTAAGAGGGCAGAGTCATATTTAGTACAGTATCCCTGGCAACTAGACTCAAAGTTAGAATTCTCAAAAACTGAGAGTTCACTGACTGTTGGCCTAGAAGGTATACAAGCCTTTTGAGCCAGATGCTTACTAAATTAGAAGCCTGACCCTCACTCATCAGTTTTCTGGAATATGCAAAATATAGACCCATTTAGGGAAAAATTGAAAAATAGGCATTTATTACCAGCTCCGTCTGCATTGAACCTTGGAGTGATAGATGCAGTGAGTGCTCGTGCCCATTAATAACCGCTTCTTTGTTTGCTGTATGTAGTCTTATGGGTCTTGAGGATGCAAGCCCGATCAGCTTTCAGACCTAGGTGTTTGTGTGGAGGCAGTCCATTGCTATGTGTAACTTAAAAGTTGGGGTCCTAGATGTGGGGTCCAAACCCTTTGCTCCTCAGGGAAAAGCTGGGAGTTTGGAAAGCCCTCCCAATTATATGGTGTTATGTTGGGTGGGATTTATGGGGTGTATCTCAGCCTTTCCTACCCATTGGCTGTGGACATTTTCTCATTTGCCTAATGTGTAGAAGTTGCTCAGCCAGATTTTGGATTTTTTTCGGAAAGACTTGCTCCATGTGTAGTTAGCTATTCGTTCAGTATGTCCATGGGAGGAGGGGCATTCAGAAGCCTTCTATGTCACCATCTTTAAAAATTGCTCAAGTCATTATATTTTTGACATGTAACTCAAAATTTCACAAAATTAAGTAACATTGTTTAACAAAAATTCTTTTATTTCTATCTCATTATTATGTGAAAAAGGTATCTTAGCAGTTATATTTTTCTCTAAGCCCTGTTTAAACTACATCCAACATATTTAGAAATGGCATACTGTCCTAATCACTTGGTCTTTAGTATTCCTTGGCTTATCTTCTCTGGATCCCTGAGTTATTCATGTTCATAAATACACTTTTTGTTCTTTATATATTTGAGACTTTTCTACAAGTTTTTATTCACTTCCAATTTAGTTCTGTTGTGGTTTGACAACATACTTTGCAATATTTTAATATTTTGAAATTTATTAATACTTATTTCATAGTCAACATATGGTCTTTCTTAGTGAATATTCCTTGTGCACTTGAAAAAAAAAATTATGGTGTGATATTCCATAAAAGTTGATTTAAGACTTGTTGGTCTTGCTCAGATTTTCTGTATCAATACTTATACATTATTGCCCTGGTTGGTTTGGCTCAGCAGGTAGAGCATCGGCCTGCGTTCCGGAGAGACCTGGGTCCGGTTCCCGCTAAGGGCATGTACCTCAGTTGCAATTTGTCCCCGGCCCTGGTTGGTCATGCAGGTGGCAACCACTCGATGTGTCCGTTTTACGTTGTTTATCTCTCTCTCTCTCCCTCCCACTCTACCTGAACAAAAAATGGAAAAATGTCCTCAGGTGAAGATAAAAAAATAAATAAAATTAAAAAAAAAAAAAAAAACTTAAAAAAAGTACTGATACATTATTAATTCAATTAACTTTCAAGATATGATAAAGCTCTCAGAGATGGACTAAACAATACTATAATGGAGGTAATTTGTGCTAAAAAATAGGGTAGTTGGAAAAGAGTGGATTTGAAATAAAGCAAGCCTGAATCTGAATTCTGACTGACAGTTATACATTGTGTATACCTAGACAAGTTATTTCATTTTTCAAATTGTTCAGTTTCTTATCTGAAATTGGTAATATTTCCTACCTCACAGAATTATTTAAATAGTCACATGGTATTTGCTGCAATTTTAATAGTATCAACATCTGCTTTTATATATAGATCCCAAATGTGGTACCTCTTCAAAGTGATAACTTTTATAACAAATCTTGGAGCTATTCATGGTGCCTTTCGATATCAAAGATCTGTGAACCCTGAAACAAATATGAACATTGTAAGTTGCTAGGAAATAAATGCTAAGCTGTTGAAATAACAGTGAATGATACTATTCAATTTTTAAAAATTTAACAGATACACAGTCAAATTCATCTTTCTGCATTCATGTATTTTTACATAGGTCAACTAATTTTCTTCACCTACTGTTGTATAGCTCACAGTTTCCTCTTGAGCCTTGTTCTGTCTCTGTGATGAAAATATATATAATTATACCTTCATGGAGGACCTATAAATCCTCTCTTCTATATATGACATACATATAGATTTGAGATATAAGCTTAGCTATGTGCATAGACATGTAAATGTTTATGGATAAACAAATATTCTAAAATTGTATGTGGGTGAGTAGGTAAAAGTATAAGTGACTAGTAGTTAAAAATATCATGGGTTATTTTTTTAACCCATTCAAGGGGTTTTGTTTTTGTTTTTTATTTGTCCATAAATTCCTACTGTATAAGATTAATGTTAAGTAGGTGTCTATAAATATTTATTACTGAATGAATCAGTGAATTAGTGCAAATGAAAACAGGCCCAAGGTTGAGAGAGAATATGAATGTTTGCTATTACATTAATAAGTTAGATTCATTTATATTAATTAACTAACAATCTAATTCTGAAAGTTTGCTTTTTCTTTGCCTAGAGTCAAATTATTTCCTACTGGGGATACCCAGATGAAGAATATGATATTGTAACTGAAGATGGTTATATCCTTGGCCTTTATAGAATTCCTTATGGAAAGATAAAAAGTGATAACAATTCAGGTATTATTCAAATCAAGATAAATTGTTGACTCTCTAGGGGTTGAAGTTTTTAACTTTTCCATTTCTTCTCAGTGAGTTTAGGACAAGAAAAGTATTTGAACAGTTTACTCCTCATACATCTCTCAACATGTCTTAAGAAGAGAGTTTGATTCTTCACTGGCTTCCTGTTCACAGAGTGGTTTTAAAGTCTGGTAGAACAGAAATAGTTTCTCTCAAGTTTTCTTTGTCAGTCATTTTACTCATACATATTGATTCTATGAAACTAGTTTGATTGGGGGTTAGAAATACTCTGAAACACTATAACATTATTCTGTAGAATTGAAGAATGGGTGGGGAAAATTTTTGTCATTATGACTCTCTCTAATAAAGCAAAGAGATCAGGTAGGTAGCAGCCTCATGGCTTTTTATTCCAATAGGTGCATTACTAGCAGCAGAGTGAAGTACAACAAAATGCACTAGAATTTGTCTCTAGGGTTATAATCTGCCACTTACTAGCAGAATATGTAATGGATTACTTTGCTTATTCATCTAATTGCTCAAATACAAGCCTTTTTTTTTTTCTCATTTGATTTTCTCACAAAACATAATTTTTCTCATACTATAGGACAACCTCTCAAGTTTTTATTTTGAACATTAAGTACATTTCAGAGAAGACACATGAATTTGAAACAACCTTAAATAAGATTTTGGGTCCTTATAAAGGTCACATTTACTAGGCAGAAAATGTTAATGTAGATTTAACATAATTATAATTATCATTCCTCAAGGTATGACCTACTTTTGCAAATACTATAATAAAAGATTTAAAGATCATTTAAAATTCAGTAAGTGCCTTAGAATTCTCTAGAAGCAGGCCTGAGATCTGTGAATGTTATTTATTGATGGAACACTGTCAGGAGAAAGTAATGTGGAAATCAGGGTACATCAGGGGAAGGAACTAAGGGAGGATGCGACTCAACTAAGTTTAGCTGCAGTATGATCTCAGAGCAGCTTAGGGATTCATGAATTGTACTACAGAGGTGGTCCCACTTGAACACAGGGAGCTAACTTTTTTGCATTCCCATATCAGTTATTGCCTGAAGGCCACCCATATTAAGAGATGTTATCTTGTGGGCAAGGCAATTCCCATTAGCCTTCGTGTAGTTCTGCAAAGAAAGGGGCAGTAATGAATCCTTTCAAAGCAATTTTCAAAAACTAGAAGAATGGTGCACCTGCTTAGTAAAGGAAATCTAGGTGGGGCACCTAAATAATCTAATGGTGTACACTCCTTGCATTACTCAGGTCCACTTGCTTTTCACATTAAGTTTATTTCATTCAGGAACAGCTTTTCCAAAATTGTGGTTGGTCAGAATTTCTGGGAAAACTTACGAGAAGGTTAGTGGAGCAAATTGCTGCATCTGCTATTGCAGCTGATTCTAACACTGTAACTGGTACTCATAAATTCCCACCTCCACTACCTATTGTAGATTCCCCTTCCTCCCAGGTATCTTTCCTTCTGAGGTAAGCCAGGCTCTCATCACCAAGGACTGCTATGTTCATAACAGGTTGTAGTTGCTGTACTTGTACATTTACAGTAAAAACAAGGTATGGGAGTAACAAAAGATGCCCCAGAGAATTACCAGAATACCAAATATGTTTTCCCTGTCCTCATTATGTATCAGCAGCCCTACCTGCTCATGATTATCAAGGCCAGTTACTCTTGCCAGTACAGTAATTCTTTTTTTTAAATCCTCATCCGAGGACATTTTTCCATTTTTTGTACAGACAGAGTAGGAGGGAGAGAGAGGAAGAGAGAGAGAGGGAAACATCGATGTGAAAGGGACACATCGAGTGGCTGCCACCCGCACGACCAACCAGGGCCGGGGACAAACTGCAACCGAGGTACGCGCCCTTAGCGGGAACCGAACCCGGGTCTCTCCGGACCGCAGGCGGACGCTCTAACCGCTGAGCCAAACCGGCCAGGGCCAGGCTGGCAGTCTCTTGACGGTAGTGTGTGTGTGTGTGTGTGTGTGTGTGTGTGTGTGTGTGTGTGTGTTGGGGGGCTACAGTGTCCCATGTACAAAGATCAGACACACTGTGAACTCTTGAATAGTGGTGCTGGCTATGGTCCTGTGTGCAAAGAAAGGCAAATCATAGCCTAAACGTGTATCAATCCTGGTCTTAATGAATTATTGCCTATTTTCAGGAGAGAAAGGAACTGATGTACCCAACTTGTCTCCAAGTTTGTGATTTGTCCCCTTGAGAGTAGGTACCATGTGAGAGATCTCTTTTGCTGGCAGGTCAGACATATTGCCCTGGCAGTAGCTAGGTCTGCCTTGGTAAGCAGGCCTATAATGACAGGCCAGCCTACATCTGCTGTGGTGGCTGTGCTTTCTATGAGCACAGCACTGAGGTTGCTGAAATGAGTGTCTAGCTGACACAAATCAGTTGATTCATCCATGCTTGTTGCTCTCCTGAGCCTTTTCCCAACACACACACTCACAGATTGAGTACTGTTCCAGAAGGCTGATGGGGGGAAGGGTTAGAGGAGAGTTTCTTGTTCCTTCTGCTTAACTGCTGTTTATTCTCACAGGTCTGCACCACAATAAAGACTTTGATCTTTTCTGTGAGTTTCATTCTGGTTCATGAGAAAGAGCTTGAGGAGGGTATGGAACTTTACAATTTACTGTACCTAGAAGGTTTACCTATACCTGGCCTTCACTACTTCTTAAGTTATTCTACCTGAACTGTTGTGATTATGTCTCCCCAATAGGGAGGACTTATGGCTCCTGTCTCCTCTCTCCCTGCAAGCACCTGTCTCTCCACAGATTTAGGGCCAGATTTTTGCTTTGTCACATCATTTCTTTGATGAGTTTTTTTTTAAAGTTATGAATTTGAACCTAGTTCTTTAATAAAGTATGAGTGATATTCTTCCAGTTTACTATATGTATATCTCAAAACGGACACAGAAGTTCTTCATTTTTGAGCTTTTAAATTCTGCCAATGTCCTCACCAGTGTATTTTTTATAAACTTGGTAAATGGGATATCCTCCAAGGTCTCCTAAGGCACATTTATCAGTTGATGGGTGTTCTGGTCTTATTTAATACATTTAGCATGCCCGCGTCTAAACCCTTGTATCCTTTCCTTCACAATCTGCTGTTGTAATTCTAGAATTTTCTAAACTTCCAAGAAATCTCAGCAAAGTATCAGGACTGACCTCAGGGACCATTGCCAGTGTCACTTCAGTAGATGATAATGAGTGGATTGTGTATGAGTGACATCTTGGGGGTAAAACCAAGTTACTAGTGAGCATACCTTGCACCATTCAAAAGGTTTTATTTCTAAAAAACCTTGGAAGCAAAAGGCAGGTCTCTGGAATTCTGTTAGGTGAGAAACACAGTAGTTCTATGATGACACCTATATTGAATATGTCTGAAAATGTGATAATAAAATTGTTTTATGAAGTTAAAAGTAGAAAAATCATATAAATATAATATTTTATTTAAAAAATACATATGAGTTCCCAAATTACTATTGTATATTTGAATATTTATATCCTTTATATGTTTAAGTGGGATATGACCTAATTACCTACTTGTTTATTTGAAAGAAATTCATTAATGAACTGTGTTAAACAGTTCTGACATACAGTGTGATTAAACATTATTAACTTACCTTATGTGTACCATTTTTTTAAATGTTCAAGTTGTGATGTATTAAATGATTGAATTTCAGATGAGATATTCATGTAGACATTACAAATTTAAAAAGAAATTTTCTGCATATTTTTTTTTTTTTAGCTCAGAGGCGTGTTGTATATTTGCAACATGGTTTGCTTACATCTGCCAGCAGCTGGATTTCTAATCTTCCTAATAACAGCTTGGGCTTCATTCTGGCAGATGCTGGTTATGATGTGTGGATGGGGAACAGCAGAGGGACTATCTGGTCCAGAAAACACTTGTACCTAAAATCAAATTCCAAAGAATTCTGGGCTTTCAGGTACAAATAAAATCAAGTAGTATCTCATTTTATGTTATAAGTGTATTGAATTTTTTTTTTTTTCTATTTTAATGAAATAAAGTAAAAGTCTTCTTGCTCAATTCAGGGCTTTAAATGAATCTTAAAATCAAGAGTGTTTGATTTCAAGTTTGTTTCTCATTTTTCAGCAGTAACCTTTATTGACTAACCCCACCCTTCCTTTAATTACTCTTTTACTCTGTAACCTATATATTTAGTCTATCTCACTATCTTTAGAACATTCAAACACCCTCTTTATAGGACTGCCTTGTGGCTATTTTATTTCCTGTTTGTGTTCTCACAGACGTCTCTGTTCAGTAGATAACATTATACCATGTAACTTGATAATATCCAACGAGGGTTGAAAACGGCTTTTATTCATTTACCTGTTCATTATATTTAAATGTTAATATATCATTAATATAAAGTGCATTTTTCTTTTTCTTTTGTAGTTTTGATGAGATGGCTAAATATGACCTTCCAGCCTCCATTGATTTCATTGTGAAGCAAACCGGACAAGAGAAAATATTTTATGTAGGCTATTCACAGGGCACTACTATTGGTATGCAAGAAAGATTGCTGACAATATTCCTTAATTACAATTTAAAATTTTGTAGATATTCTTCTTAAGGATGTGAATAAGCTTCTCAAGCTCTAAGTGAAACAAAGCAGAGTTAACACAAGCATCACATAGCAGTGCCCTAGGAGCTTACGCTCGGCTTCAATTCCACGTAGTCTTCTCTAGTCACAAAGGATTGATCATGTAAACAGGGTTGTGGTTTTGTTTGTTTCCAATAGGACAGTAGTTGGGTATCCATTTCAGATCAAAGATGGTAACTATCACTTGTTCCACAAACAGAAATTTCATAATTATTTTGTTTTAACAAAGCCTAGGGCTTTATGAGGGAGAGTCTGGAAAAGATTATTTATATGTTTGCATTTAGGACAGATTAAATTTAAGAAATACACAAAGATGAGAAAATATTCCTGTATTTCAAGACAGCTAGTAAAGAACATTCATCTCTTTACAACATGAATGCTCTTATCTACTATGTAACAACTTACTTTTCAGAAAAAATTTCTTAGGGCCTAACATAATTCTCTTACATGTATTGTAAACCTGGTTATGTGAACTTACTTTTTCTGCTTTGGAATTACACCATTTTATAATAGAAGCCAATATTAAATAAGTCTTTTCTAGACTGAAGTGTATTATTTTCTTATAGGGATTATCTACTTCCTTAGAAAATGTGTCTTAAATAACAAACTAATTCAATTTTTCATAGATCTTTCTTGAACATTTATTTACCCTGTGTGTGACTTTTAGTCTAAATTCTCCTCAGCTGTTCAGTTATCTGGAACTAAGAATCCCAGAAAATTATTAAATTAAAAAAAAAAAAAGTGATATAGCAGAACTTATTGACTCAGAGTATGATACATAATTCTTTGGTCATTTGACTTTTCAGAACCTGGGTTGGGGGAGGAATAAAAATAGAGAAGATATGTGCAAGTAGATAGCTTGATGTTAAAAAGGGTTGAAAACTACTGTTTGTCATATTGACGACTTTAAACTGTCAATAAAATATAAACTAGTATTTAGTATTCTCTATACAAAAAGTCAAGGAAGTTTTAAAATACATTAAAAGGAATAATATAATTTAACATTTATTGAATTTCTCACCTGAAAAATTCACTAATTTCATTTTTACCTTCGTCGGTTTTATAAATGTTCAATATTGTTTCTGATTTTTAAACTATGATGTTACAAAATGGATTTATTGCTGAATTATCATAATTTACGGTCTGTACATTTGTTTTTAATCCTAATAATCATTATTATGTTGTAATCAATATGCATGCCTCATGCTGGATTATCAATAAATGTTTAATAAGTGAACTTAAAAGTAAGTAAATTGATTGTTTAGACCCTATTGAATTTACTCTTATTCACCATGGTATCATTTCTTACATACTAGTGATAACTTAAGAATAGTTCATTTATATCTTTTTTTTCAGCTTTCATAACATTTTCCACAATACCAAAAATAGCTGAAAGAATCAAAATACATTTTGCTTTAGCACCAGTTTTTTCCGTTAAATACGTAAAAAGCCCTTTAATTAAAATGGCGTACAAGTGGAAGTCATTGATCAAGGTATGTTATTCCTTTCATATATGTAGTTGATAATCCAAAATGACAATGATTCTTACTTTCAACAAAGAAGGTCTTAACTATGCTTGTACATTTATGAATGGAATCTTTTTTGTTTTATTCACACTGGGTTCTTGCCTTTGTTTCTAGAAAGGAATAAGACATTACTTGTGGTAATTTTGAATACTTCATTGTGAAAGAAAATCTGGCAGTCAAATCATCCCTAAATTCTGTTTCTAAATTTTATCCTTCGTTGAAATGTTCTCAACTACTGTGAGATATTGCATTCAGTTACAAACATAGTGAACTCAGTGCATCATTTCTTCATAAATTATTTTGGTCTTCAAATATGAATAAAATAAATTTATTTTACAGGTTTTATTTGGCAACAAAGACTTCTTACCTAATTCCCCATTTACAAGAATTATTGGTTCAAAGCTATGTCCACAAAAGATTTTTGTTAAGATTTGCAGTCGTATCTTGTTTATGATGTGCGGTTATGACCAGAAGAATTTAAATATGGTGAGAACGAGTATTTAAAAATATATTTTGTCAATTTTTAGAAAGCAGCTGTATTAACAGAGCTTATTTTATGTTTCGTATGTCATATTATGATTTATCCATATATAGTAGTACTTAGATTCTTTGTCTGATTTTGTGTTCATACCAATATTGTGAAACTAATTTGATTTACATACTGGGATTATTTTGCTTCCATAGTTGCATTGCTCTCTGTAAAGAACAGAGGCAGCTGTTGTAATGGGCATCTTTATTAGTCTTTGCTATTAGTGTCAGTTTCCTGAGGTTTCTTGAATTTAGGTTGTCTTCTAGGCACTTGTTTCCCATAATTCCTCCTATTAAATCCTGGTTCTTAACACGTCTTCTCTTACTTGTGATCTTTTTGTAATTAAAATTAGTGCCTGTCAGTTGTCTTACATGCTTTTGGCATTCATCAACATTTCTAGAGTGGAAAATTGTTTTGGTATTCAAGCTACTATTACCAAGTCCATTTGGATAATGTGTATATTCTCTTAAAGATGTAGGTTCTAAAAGTTTTCAACAAATTAAAATAAAAATCACTTGGACTAGTGATTATTAGTTCTTGTACCTAGACCTTTTAAGAACTTTTCAATGAGAACAAATTTTTCATTTAAAAAAAAGAGAAATTTTCTCTTAATCCCCCCAAAACATTTTCCTACCACAAAGATATATTGATTTCATTCAACCTCAAGCAGGTCTTACCTCAGCCTCAGAGAACTATATAGACAGTTACATGAATTTGAAAGAAATACTTCATAATAGCAAAAAAGAGCTCCTTCATATCCATTGTACACATAAAGGTGTGAACAGTGTAACTTCTGCCATAAAAGTTTTTTAAAAAGACTACATATCATTCTGTTTATCTAGTGTTATATAAGTACCATGGACTGACTGAAAGAATATAAGGAATGGAGGGGAACTTCCTCAACTTGATGAAGAAATTGAATTCTTTCCATGTAGTTTATATTGTTCACCTTCAATTGTGGAGCATAACATAAACTAAAAACTCAAAATCATGCAATAATATAAAGACGAAAATATGAAGTATTTACCTTTAGAGAGGACTAAGGTAATGATAAGTTTTTTTAGTCTAATGAGAAGATTTTTTATAAACAATTACAATACAATGTAAAAAAGTCCTATTACAAAAATAGATAAAAATTACCATGAGGGGAGAGAGAGCATTACCTTCTTCTGACAATGATTCTGTGTTTGTCTATTTCCTATTGAAGTTCTGTTAAGACGTTTGTTATATTTTGAGATTATATTATTAGGCACATAAAAATCTTTATAGTAAACAAAGCCTTTTAATAATATATATTTATTTATAGTGTTACTTTGTTTTAAAGTCCATTTTCTTATAACAATAAAGGTGCATATAGTTTTCTTTTGATAATATTTTCTAGGTAGTTTTCCTCACCTTATACTACTTTTTTATGTTTTATACATGTTTCTATTTTTATCACTTTCACAATTCTTATCTTTTAATTGGAACAATTAATTCATTTACATTTAATTTAGCTACTTATATATTGAGATTTAAATGTATTCTCTTACATTTTGTATATCTAAAAAATATGTTCTTCCTTTTTTGTATGTTTCTCTTTCTTGTTTTCTTTTGAATTAAAAATTGTTATTCCTTTTTTTCCTACATTTTAAGTGAGACAGTGTAAGTATGGGATTTAACTAAGGCAGAAAAGTATGGAGGAAAAGCATAAACTTTGAGTTAGACTTGGGTTTTAATAGTTCAAGACTTTTATTATCATACTCAAACCATTTTTACCAACTTCTCAGTAACTTCCAATTTTTCCTAATCATTATATGTTTATTTTATCTTCCCAAATAAAATAAATAGTTTTTTGGTTAAGAACTATATTAGGCCTTTTATTTCTTATTTAACCAGGCACAGAGCTATACATATTTTAAACACAGTATTTTTCTTATGTGCCTTATTCACTGATTGACATTTCCAGAGAATATATAGGCAATGAAAACATAGATTACAGATTGACATGAGAGCTGCATATTCCTGAATAAGCTTCACTTTCAATTGTATAGAACTTTGGGCCACCAGTTTATCATGGAGAAGGTTTCTTTTTAAATCTCTCAATTGCGTTAGGAGACCCTCAGCTGATTTTTGTTTTCCTCTACTAAGTTCTAAAAATGAAACTTCAAATTCTCTAGGATAACCTTAAGGAAAAAGTGACTATAGTTCTTTGTTATTCTCTTTGGGTTTTTAGTTATTTCTGTTCCATTTGTCCTGGTAATTTCTTTGTATCTTTTCAGTTCTTTAGTGCTTTCAAAAGGTGTGTTTGTATGTGTTCCATCATTTATTTTTGTTTTTCAGTATGGGATAATGGACCACATAGTTCAGAAATCCAATAATAGCTGCTACATTAATGTAAAAAGTATACATTTAATAAGTACATTTATGTATTTAAATTAAATATAATTTTATTTTTATAATTTATTAAAAATTAAAATTTTCTGAAAGTATTTAGTTCAATAAATATCAAATATTATGCTTTTTTGGGCTGGACTAAGTATAAAAATAATTTTTTAACCCCTTAGAGTCGCGTGGATGTTTATATGGCACACAACCCAGCAGGAACCTCTGTTCAAAATATACTCCATTGGATTCAGGTATAATTTTTAAAGAGCATTTCAGTGCAGTTTTATTCATACCACCCAGGTTTATCTCATCATTTTAGAATTCATGCCATTGCCATAAAAGGATAAATTTGAAAGGATAAAATAAAATTATTACATACTTGTATAATATGTTATAGTTTATGTGTTAATATCATAATGTATTAGATTCACTAGACCTAAACAATGGTCAGAGAAATATAATTATTTTCTGTTGTACAAATGAGAAAATGTTAATTCAGAACTGTAGAATAGGGATTATATAAATCATGCCTATCATTTGACTTGCCCAGAGATTCAAAGCTATTCCTTAAAAAAAAAAAAAAAAAAAAGAAAAAGTAAAAACTAGACCACAGGTCTCTTAATGCCTACTCTTTCACAATTTTCTTGTAACAAAAATTGTGGGGGAAATGGGCATAATCATATTAGACCAAATAGGCTCAAAGCAGATAGTAGTGATGAGAGTCTGAGTGTTAAGGGTGAAGCAAGGATATTTAAAGGCGTGTCATGTTAATCCTGAAACATGCTCTTGAATCCTGTTGTTGAAGCAAAAATATTTAGGGCATAGACAACAATGCTTGTGTGGTCGGGGCGGGGGTGGGATAGGGAAGAGGATGTCTGGGAGGAAAAAGGAGAATCATTCATAACAAAAATTAGTTAATTAAAAAAGAAAAATTTTTAACAATGAAGAAGAAGGGAAAAAAAAGTATCCCTTCATTTTTATTTTCTGGAAATAATAGTAGAGAATTCTTCCTTAAATGTTTGGTAGAATTCACTAGTAAAGTATCTGGGGCTGGAGCTTTCTTTTTTTTTCAACTTTATTGGGTATTGTTTCAATTTCTTCAGGATTTAGATAGTGATGGTTAATTTTGTGTGTCAATTTGACTGGGCCATGGGGGTGCTCAGATATTTGGTCAAACATCATTCTGGTGTTTCTGGATGAGACTACCATTTAAATCTGTGGATTTTGAGAAAGACAGATTGCCTTCCATAATGTGGGTGGGCCTCATTGAATCAGGTTGTAGCCCTGAATATAACAAAAAGACTGGCCTCCCCTGAGCAAGGGACAGTTCTCCAGCAGGTGGCCTTCAGACCTTATCTGCAACACTGGCACTTCCTGGTTCTTCAGCAGACAGCCTGGGGCGAGAACTGTGGCATCAACTCTCCAGGGTCTGCAGCCTGCTGGCCCACCCTGCAGATTTCGGACTTCCCAGTTTCCATAATGATCTATGACAATACCTTATAACAAATTATATATATGTAAATTATTTTTTTAAAAAGAATATTTAGGGAAGTTTAATCCTCGTGCACTTAGTCCTAGACACTCGTTTTTGACATCTGTGAGTGAAACTAAGGATTTCTGGGGAAGCCTGATGTTACCCCAAACACACAGGCCTCTTTTAATAAGGTCAAAGGCCCCGGGGAGATGTGCTTTTAAGATAAATTCATATTCCCAACTCCCACCTCTTCCATTTTTTAATCCTATGCAAAGGAAAGGAGGAGCAAAGAAGCCCACTGGCACATATACCAACAGACCCAGTAAAAAGGGGCCATATGTACAATGTATTTGTAACTTGTATCCACTGCCACTGGAATGAAAAAATGAGTAGTCTTACTTTTTAATTTTCTTTCAGCTTTTTAATTCTAGTTACTTGAAAGCTTTTGACTGGGGCAGTCCTGTTCTGAACTTGGTTCATTTCAATCAGGTACATAATTATAATAAACTAAAAATTATCTCCCTGATCAATTCAGAATATTTTGTTGTAGATAAAGGCTCATCTGTAAAGGCCAAGTACAATAACACAGTAAGAAGGAGCAGTAGATGAAGATCATGTTGATTTGGATTCGTATTGTCACCTCCAACCAAAGTGGCTTTTCCATGTTTTCTATATATTTTAACAAATATTTTGTAGAAGCCTAAAGAAGTTGACAGTCAGTAAAACAATTAATCATCCCTCAAGAGAAAAAATATTGTGTTTAAAATATATATAGTTCTATTTGGTTAAATGAGAAATAAAAGGCATAACATAGTTCTTGACCCTGAAACTACTTATTTTGTTTGGGAAAATATTATAAACACACATAATAATAAGGAAAAAGTAGAAGTTAATGCAAAGGTGGGAAAAATGGTATGAGTATAATAATGAAAATCCTGAAGTATTAAAACCCAAGTCTGTGTATTTCAAAATTTGTAGTTTTCCACTGTACCTTTACACCTTAGCTAAACTCCATGACGACTGTAGTTTGCTTGTGCAGTCTAAAGTAAAATATAAAGAGCAAATGCAATAAAATCAGATTTGACCTAGGCTGCCAGTATTTATCATTTATTGATAAACATATTGACAGCCACAGAAAATTTTGATTAAAATACTTCAGTGCTTTGGAAATAAAACTGAAATTACCTCTGTGGAATGTTTGAATACTCTGAATTAGAACGAACTATCTAGTTTTGATTTGTGTCTGATTTAGTTCTAAGTAAAAGTTACGATAGCTATTCTTTCATAGTCATTGCTTCCGTAGTAATAATTATTTTAGATTCAGCTTATTTTAAAACAGTATTTTAATGCAGCATTTAAAGAATTAGTAAATAACGCTTTCTAGTTATCATTCCCTGTGAAAACACTCATTTCTACTGACTTATATCTAGACAACTGCTCCACTGTACAATGTGACAAACATGAATGTGTCCACGGCAACTTGGAATGGTGCAAATGACTTGCTGGCTGATCCAGAAGATGTTAACATTTTACTTTCTGAAATCAGAAACCACATCTACCACAAAACTATTTCTCACTACAGCCATATAGACTTTCTGTTTGGATTAGATGTATATCATCAAGTTTACCGTGAAATCATTGATATTATCCAAGACCATCTATAAAAACCATGGTGCTTGTCTTGAAGGATCTACATGATTTCTATTAAAAGCCAATTATTTTTTCTTACAGTGTATGTGTTCCAGTTATTTTTAAAAATCTGAAACTTTTTTCCTATATATTTTTTATTGCCCCTAGGCTTTCCATTCATTAAATCAGTGGTATTTATTATATCAGGGGAAATAACAGATTATAACTCAGCCTACAGAAGTCTATTGAATTTCTAAATAGACTACAAGTACCTAAAAAGAAAAACAATATTTGCAAATATTTTTAACTGCAAGAGAGAGCTTTTTGAGAAAGATGTCTGGGGTTTTTTCCCCCAAAGAAATGAGCATATATAATATTATAAAAAACAGAGTTTGGAAAGAGACCTGCTGATATAAAAGCTAATTTTTCTCTATGCTGAATGAAGAATAAAAACACTTTCTGAGCTGTATAAAGGGATTGGGGGGGGGGGGGTAAGAGAACCTTGATGCCAGTATAATATTGCTGCCCTCTGCCCCATTTTAGGCTAATTTCCAGAGGTAAGGAAATGGTAGAAACCACGGAGGGGTTGTACCTACCTCACTTCCAGGATGTACAGCCTGGGAGACTGCAGCTGCCTTTACAGCCTAGTGTGGGAGACTGTTTGCATGGCATCTATTTTGCTAAAATCTGCTCTGCCATCTCCTGCCCCAAGGCAGGATATCTCTGCATCTCTGCATACAATGTTTCTGCATTCCTTTAAGTAACCATTTACTCAGCCAGTTATGCTCTGTTTGTCTTTTGTTCCACCCCGATATTTACATGATATTTACCTGAAATTGCTTCAGGGTGGTTACCACAAACTATCCCTTGGCAACAAATGTTCTTGTTTTTCTGCTTCTTGCCCTATATATACTGTGGATCTCCCAAGAATAAAGAGGCTTGATCAGAACCCTGTCTTGTCTCCATATCTCTGTCTCTTGTCCCTCCTCATCCTCACTTCCTCTCTAGAGTCCTCGTTGCTCAACCTGCGGGACAGGTCAAGTGGCGCCCAACGTGGGGCTCGAACCCATGACCCTGAGATTAAGAGTCTCATGCTCTACCGACTGGGTCTGGGCCATGCCATTCCCTGTGGCAGAACGTGCCATTGCCTAGTGTGTGTTAAAAGTAGGAGTTGAGATATATTTCTAGGTAAGTAGATCTGAGGGTGGCTTCACAAATGATGCACTGCAGCTTAGTGTATGAAAGATCCAAGAACCTCTTACACACCAGAAAAGTATAGATGTGTTCAACAGGGTATGGCAGATGGGAAGATTATGGATGAAGGATATTGTCAGTAAATGTAATATGTATCATAGGAGCTTCAGGCTGTGGTAAGACAGTGGGTATCAGCAGCAGATGCAAGGCACCCTGTGGCCTACCTCAAAATCCTATGCAAGGATTCATGCTCCAGGGGAGGCCAAACCTCTCTCCCTTCCAGTTTCTGAATAATGTATAACTTCACAGGCTTTTTGTAATACCCGGGGAGAGCAATATGGAAAAGGGGGACTCTAGAACTGAATGTGAGTTTACCACAGAAAGATTGAGATAAACAATGTATACTTCACTGTATTGGAAAAGTGAGTTTTCTACCTCAAAATGGAAGTTGAAAGCCAAGCCAAGTTTATTAGTTTTGAGGTTGCCAAATTTTTACTCGATGCATGCTTGTGGACTTTAAAAATTGTTATATAAAAATAAATAGAATATGTTTAGATAGTAAGAAAGAATAAAATATATGCATACATTATTATTAATATAGCTAAGAAACAGCAAATAATAACTTTAAAGATCATAATTAAGGCTAAAAATAAGTTTTTCTTTCTTTGGTAACCCTTGGTACTGAAATAGTAGGAATAGTAGAGCACTGAGAATAGATACATATTTAGTAATACCTTTTCAAGAACGTTGTTGCACTGGCTGGTGTGGCTGAGTTGGTTGGAGCATCTTCGTGAACACCAAGAGGAGACAGGTTTCATTCCTGGTCAGGGCACACACCTAGGTTGTGGGTTTGATCCCCAGTCAGGGACGTGTATGGGAGGCAGCCAATTGATGTTTCTTTCTCACATCGATGTTCCTCTCTCTTACATCGATATTCCTCTCTCTCTCTCTCTCTCTCTAAATTCAATAGTAATAAAAAATAAAATAATAATTATAAGAATAACAATGTTAATGTAGCATACGTTTACTTCAAAGTTTTCAAATGATCCTTCAAAGAAGGCAAGTGTAATAGGATAATTACACAGAAGAATTATTCTTTAAAGAATAAGTTGGAAGTTTCTGGTAATGGTAGACTGAATAATTCAGATCTGGAAAAAGGTAAAAAGTTTTTATCTGAAGACAATGAAGAGCTCAAAATGTAGTGAAGAATTACAGTGTCACACACACACACACACACACACACACACACACCCAGAGAAGTGAGCCTGGCATTTTAGATGTTTATATATCCTTGCAACATCTACTTACTGTAGAAGTCTGGTTAAAAGACTGAAAAAAAACAGTGGAAAATAAAAATTGTAATTTAGCCTACCAAGGGGAAGTTTCTCTGGTAAACCTCAATCCTCAGGCTTTTGAGTGAGTTTCAAAATAGTGTACTCTAAGACTAAAGTTGAACTGGAAAATTGATTCCTCTTTCAGGAACTGTAGCCCAGCTTTGAATCATGAATTCTCAATGTACCAGGATGATTTGGGAATACTAATGCCCTAGCCATCAGTCAGAAGCAAAAGTAAATCCTCTCTGGAGGAAGATCAAATTATCCAAGATGTTAGAAATAATGATAAAGTTTTGCAATGTTTCAGGGTAGGTCAATATATAAAAATAAATTGTATGATACATACTAGCATCAAATAATTGCAACATGAAATTTAAAATATACCTCTTACAATATATGTACTGTTATTATACACAGGAATACAGATAAATATGTTCATATTGGAAGATAATATTAAGATACTCTCTCTTCCAAAATTTACCTATATTTTCAAAGAAATTTTAATAAAAATCCAAGTATGATCCCCCCCCCAGATATTGTAATATTGTTTTTAAAATTTATATAGAATTACAATTTACAATTGCCAAAACAATTTTGAAAAAGGTTGGAGAACTTACACTAATTGAAAGACTTAAATTACAAAGCTACATTAATTAAGACAGTGTGGTATTAATATTAAAAGACATCTAATTGAAGGAACAATACAAAGTTTAGAAATAGACTACACCTATGTAGTCAATTCATCCTCAGTGGGGTAAAAGATTGTGTTTCCAAATGTGGAGAACATTACAGAAAAAAGGTGAACTTTGACCTCTACATTATATCATACATAAAATTTAATTGGAAATGAGTCACAGACCTAAATTTAAAACCCTAAACTCTAAAAACTCTAGAAGAAAACAGAGGAAAATTCTTTACACCCTTTGGGTAGACAAAGATAGATGAGATAATAAGAGCAACTATAAAGAAAATTTTGGTAGATTAAATGCAGTGAAAATTAAAATCTTCTGCCCATCTAATGATACTTAAGACAATGCTACACAAACTACCAACTGAGAAAAAATATTTATAACAAACATATCTGACAAAAGATGTTTATCTGAAATAATAGAAATAACTCTTACAACTCAATAAGAAGAAAAGTAACCCAAGAAAAATTGAGCAAAAGTCTCAAACAGATTCTGCACAAAAGAAGATATAAGAATGGCCAATGAACCAGATGTAGGAAAAGGTGGCAACATCACTAATCATCAAGGAAATGCAAATCAAAACCACAATGAGATATCACTACACACCTGTTAGGAAGGCTATTATCAAAAAGTCAAAAGGTAAAAGTGTTGGCCAGGATGAGGAGAAGATGAAACATTTATACACTGTTGGTGGGAACATATACTAGATTATATTAAAATTATGAACTTCTATTTATCAAGATATATCATTAAGAAAATGAGAATGCAATCTGTAGTGTGGAAAATATAATTCCAGTAATTCTCAATTACTAATGAACTGTTCATATCCATTGTCTATTATCTCAGAAATATCTGTTCTCTCCTCCACGATGGCTTTTCCCCTTAAAATTAAATAGCATTGCCCTGGCCGGTTTGGCTCAGCAGTTGAAGCATCGGCCTGCGGACCAGAGAGTCCCAGGTTTGGTTCCTGCTAGAGGCATGTACAAAAAAAAAAAAAAAAAATTAAATAGCATTTCATGTCTGGAGCATGATTCATTTTGCAATTGTGTTTTATGTGACTGGCCTTCCCTATTCTCAAGTACATTAGTCAACGTTGCAGGTAAATATGGAATGTTTCAATGTCCCCAGAGGACACCTTTAGTTTTAGTGGAGCCTTATTCTTTTCAATAGATAAAAAAAAAAGTTAAGATTCTCTCTACATAAACAATAATTTCTATTTGTCTATTTTGACTCATTTAGTATCATTTCTTTGTGAAACTTTCCAGAGAAATAATTCTTGAATTTTAAAAGAATAGTGATTTTAATCTTTCTAAAATACTGGGAAATTTCTGGTGATCACAAAGTGTTAGAGTATATAACTGAAGAAGTAGTACTTTAATATCAAACTTTATAATAAGGACATTTGCAATAAATAAAAAATAGAATTGTGTGACAACAAAGGAATGAATAAATAGCTTATTAAACGTGTGCTCTGAAGTTGTTTACCATTCCATTGTTTTCAGTGGACTATTTCAGAAAAGAAATTTTTCTGTTCTTCAGAATTCTCTCAATTAAACTTTGATTGCTCCAGTGCATGTGGCGTCCTTTGTTTCCCTCAGTGTTTCCTGGATATGTGAAGAGTCTACTTTCCTGATTTTCTCCAAAGCACAGAATTTCCTCCGAAGCCAGTTGTTAACCAACTAATTCAAGATCTACAGATTCTTGAACACCAACTGCTTCCTCGGCTAAACATTTCACTAATGTGGTTTTGAAAATCTGAGCCAGCACTCAGATTTTACATTAGGTCATGTAAATGGGATATTACATTAGGTCATGATA